GCTTTCTATTGAACAAACTAGATTCCATTCCTACACTGGCACTCACCTAGACAATGCCAGAACGCCTTTCACAAGTGTCCTAGTCACCAGGGACAGCGGCACATGCCTGGAATCCCAGCTAATCAGGAGGCCGAGCGAGAAGGATCACAAATGAATCCAGCCTGAGAACTTATTGAGACCCTGCCTCCATTTTTAAAAAAGGCCGGGTCTGTAGCTCAGTGGCACAGTGCTTGCCAACATGCGTGAGACCCTAGGTTTGATCTCCAAGGCCAACATAAAGGGAGAAAGGGAGAATTTAAACAAAATAACTTTTTAAACTATAATATAAAAATACCTTTAGCTTAAAATACAAGACTTCTCTGCATTTTTGATTATTGCATATTAATCACATTGTGTAAAACTCAATTGCAATCTATTGGGCTTCTTTTTAAAAATTTCACTCACCAAATATTTAATCCTGCAAAGTTTAATAGAGAAAAAATGTAGTCTCCACCAACTAGCATCCCAATGTATGCAACAGACACATTCTGCAAAAAATGGAATTCACCGTTACACGTGAAGGATTTAGGGGAAATCCATACATAAGGCAAAGCCTAAACATAGACATTTTGATTGCTTTGCATAGTAACTTGTAAATCAAAGATATTCACCACAAGTTGGATAAATGAATAACAATTATAATGTGTGGCTTGAGAAAGATGCTGCATTAAGAACAATAAACACATTCATCGTCTCCCACTTTCAGGCTAAAGATCACACAGTTGAGTCTTCTCACATCACTGGTAGTGAGCAGTCACCACAGCGGCCCTAAGCTTGAGCAGGTGGAGACGAGGACCAGCCCCCACAGCTGGCAGACAGGGCCACTGCTGGCCCAGGCAGGCTCCTGCCAGCCCAGGAGGGCAGGAGAATGGAAAACACTGTTCTGGAAGAACGGAATCCACAACACAATCCCTGTCACATCTAGCTTTGTAATAGAGCCTGGACATGGTTGTAAGCAGTCCTTCCGGGGCTCCCTTTCCAGTGGGCAGAAAACCAAACTGCAGATTACAACGTAATCATGGATATTTGGAATCTTTCCCTCCACTTTCTATCTCATGTCTCCAATTATCCCCTCCCATTCATCCCAAATTAAAGTAGTACTTTGTTCTTTCTTTCTAAAATTTAAAAGACCTCACTCTTTTATGCATTAGGGGATCAGAAGTCGTAAGAAGAGGCCAACACACCCAGCTGAAAACCCCACAACCTCCATTTCTGTCAGCAGCAACAGCAAAGTTAAGCTCCGCTTCTGCAGCACAGCTTGGACCTCAGTCCGTCCCCAGCTCAGTGTCCACCGCAGGCCCCACCACTTACCTTGATGGCTCCAACCACAGCCGTGGTCAGGGCCGAGTTATAGTGACTGCACAGAACCGTGGCGAACATCAGCAGAAACCTGGGTGAGGACACAGACACTGAGTATGCGGCTGCTGGCCCCATGGTTGGAACAGCCGAGTGTCAGCTGGTGGCCTGTGCACAGTACTTTAAGCCACTTTAAACAAACATCATAAATACTACAGGGCCCTTACTAGTGGAACCTTGGTAATGGACTTATTATAGGACATAAGGGAGCTCTGCTCCCTTTCTTCTGTTTCCATGAAGTAGGGTTAAGGAGAGGGAATTTTCCTCAATGACCTGGAATTCTTTGCTTCACAATATGCAAGAGTTTAACCTCTCTGTGCTTGGAATCACCTTCACACTCAGCACACCACGGTGCCCAGAGAGGTCCCCAATCCACAGGTGTGAGGTGGGCCCAGTCCTGCAGGATTCCAAAGCTCATAAGGATTTCCACACACAGCCAGAGCTGAGGACTCAGGTGTTAGGAGGGAAAATGAGACCAGCAATGACTGGCTTTGGATAAAACAAATGGCCATGAGTGGCTGCCACTGTGACTGATGCCCTCGCACCCTATTACCAAAGTTAATGCTGGCACTTAGCACTGACACTAAACATTGATGCTGGCTTGCCCATAGAATGACTCTAGAACTACAGGAAGCAGTAGACAAGAAACCAAGTACACAAGTAAAGAACACAGAATCCAGTCGGGGTGAGGAAGAGAGCTGATTCTTATCGAGTCCTGAGGGAAATCAGCTATAACCTAAGTAGGCTGGAAAACTCCACCCATCCAACACACATGAGTAAATGTCATATGGGGTGACAGTCACACCTGGCTGAGAGTGAATCTAGGAAGGAAGGTCAGCCAAATAGTTCAGCAGATTAAAGTGCCTGCAAGCCGGCACGGGGCCAGGGGTTCAATCCCAGGCCTGCTGTGCCGGCCCTGCTCCAGGGTCTTGCTGAGACAGCAATTGAGACTGGGTGTGGTGGCACACGCCTGTAATCCCAGCTCTTGGGAGCCTGTAAACAGGTGGATCACGACAACTCCGACCTAGTAGTGAGATGCTGAACACATTCCCTAAAATACAAAAAAAAAAAAAAAAAAAAAAAAAAAGCACTCTCTGTACTCTCCAAAGGTACAGAGAGTACCTAAGAAATGAGGAATTTTAAAGCAATGTCCCAAGTAGGGGGCATGAGCATTGTTCCCCGCGACAGCACAGCCAACTGGACTAGGGAGAGCTCAGTGTATGTGGGACCTCGGCTGCTCTTCCTGCTGGGCTCCAGCACCCATATCAGATGCTGGGCCTGACCCTGTCACTGTCACCAACAGAATCACGGTCAGGGATCTTCAGCCTCTGCTGGCCCAAGTATGTTTACTACCAGGGATGGCAGAGGGGAAGAGACACAAAGCACATCAAGCTTCTGGTTAGGCGGAAGAGTAAAGCTAATTATGAATTTGAATTCTGTTAGCTCAGATGATGAGTGCATTTGTTATTTGGGTAATTGAAACAATTTCACAAGTCCACAAACCTTCGAGGTTTCAATTTGAACTGTGTAACTGATATGAGCCTTGCAATTTTAATTTGAGAAGCCTAAAAGTATCTTTGTAAAAAAAAAAAAAAAAAAAAAAAAGCCTGCCCTGATGAGTGAAGGTGTAGCTCACAGTCAGAGCACTAGCCCAGCATGCGCAGGTCCTGAGTTCAATGCCCAGCACCGAGAGGACAAGGGTCATTAAGTGTCTAAGGGCGCCATCGCTGAGTGATGTACTAACTTTGTTAGTCACCCTTAGAGGTTGGAAGAGCTCAGGAACTATCAGGCAGATCACGATTATAAATGCAGTTTCCAATGTTTATATCTGTTTGATTCCTTAGGCTGTAAGAGGAACTGTGTATGGTAAAATCATTTGGAGAGTTTAATCGGTGAACCAGAGTTAATAAGCCAGGCATCAAATTATGAGAGTCACTGTCTTTGTTTTTTTGTTTGTTTGTTTGTTTGTTTTTAATTTTATTTATTTATTTGTGTGTGTGGCCAGCTCAGCCCACCAGGGGGTGGGGCTGGCTGGCATGTGGTGCTGGGGGATTGAACCACGGTCCCTGTGCTTTGCTAAGCTTGTTCTAAGTAGGTGCTTTAGACCACTGAGCCATCTCACCAGCCCACTGTCTTTGTTTTTATGGAAACATTATGAAGTTTGTTGACAGAACCTTAGTATTTAGAAGGTGAACTTGGAAGCTTAAGAAAAATCTAAGTTTTTCAAGTTGTTAAAGTTTTAATAATTGACTTGTTAATATAGACAATGATAAGTAATCCTATTGTTTCATAAAATAAAAGGATCAAAAACACTCAATCGAACCTCACTGTGTGCTGACCCTGCTGGCCTTGGGGTTCAGGGCCCTAAGGATCCGAGACCAGGGAAGCTCAGATGGGCGGCTCCCCCTCAGCCTTCAGAAACCTCAGCATGATTTTCAACCAAGCCCAGCGATGCCTATTCTTTACTTTTGTCAAAGAATCCCAGCCCCAGAATTATAGTCATGTAACACGGAAACCCCCTCCATCTGTGTGGAACCAGCCTGCTCACATTCAGAATTAGCAGAAATGGGTCTCTGGATCTAGGACTCCAGATCCACCTTCTGGGAGCATGACAAGGACTTTCCTTCCCTCAGCAGCTGCACTGAGCCAAAGGTGGAAGAGGACCCCTCCCTAACTTGCCCAGGTGAGTGCAAGGCTGAACAGGTGGGCTGCACTTCTCCATGTTCCCACTAGATGTCGCCAGAGAGGACAAATGGAAGCCACAGGATTCAAAGGAGTATTACGAAAATGATTTTTAAGGAAACAGGATTTACTTTTCCATGCAAATAAGTAAGATACCCTGTGTTGAATAAAAGCAAGACTTACAATTAAAAGCATCTTCACCTTCATTAACTCCATGCTGGGGAAACCACATAACTTTCAACACAAAGGTAACCACTACTTCACATCTGTAGCAAGAGTTTTGGGTTTTTTTTTTTTTTTTAATGTTTTTTGACACAGGATCTTGCTGCACAGTTCAGGCTGGCCCTGTGCTCACTTTTGTAGGTCTCGAGCTTGTAGTGATCCTCCTGTCTCAACCTTCCAAGTGCTAGCATTATAGGCACGTGCCACCATGCTGGGTTCCAGCCTGGCACAACATGTGGCACTGGGAATTTAACTCAGGACCTTGCACTTCCTAGGCAGGCGCTTAAGCCACCAAGTTATCCCTCCAGCCCAGCGGCTACAGATTAATAAAATGCAAACAGATCATACATGCTGCTGAGGCCTGAGTGTTTATTGCCTTTACGTATTCTGAAATCATTATTCCATTAAAGAAATTACAAGGGCCAGCCAAATAGCTCAGCAGATTAAAGCACCTGCAAGCAGACACAGGGGCTGGGTTGGATCCCTGAGCCTGCTGTGCCGGACCCGCCCCCGGGGCGCACTGAGATGGCAACTGAGACTGGGTATGGTGGCACGCACCTGTAATCCCAGCTCTTGGGAGGCTGTAAACAGGCAGATCACTACTAGTCTGATCTAGTAGTGAGATCCTAAACACCTTCCCTAAAATTAAAAAAAAAAGAAAAGAAATTACAACACATGTATTTGGTGCACAGCAGACAACAAAGGCAAATAGTATCGTTGATGGGGGCTTCGCGGTGGAGACCCCAATGGCCGAGAGCCAGAACCCCCTCAAAGGACTCTTCCTGTTTCTAAAAATGGCACAAGCACTTGGGAGGCTGAGGCAAGAGGATGGTTGCAAGTTCAAGACCAGCCTAGCAAGCAAAATGATCTCAAGGCCCGCCTGAACCACATAGTCAGACCCTATCTCAAAAAGACAAAAAAAAAGAAGTGATTCACTGAGGTCATATGGCATGTTTGTGGCAGACACAAACAATTCCAGTCACCTACTTTACTACTTGCTTCTCCGGCCACTGTACAGCAGTGTATATGAAAATTCAACACTATGTTCAGATCACAAGAGGCCACTTTTACACTCCTGCCACTCACAGCCTTTCTAGGCTCCTAACTCCCTCCCAGGGCCATGGAAGGGACAATTCTCTCCCACAAGGTAGGCCATATACTTTAATCATTCTCCACTTCCTGCCTTGGAGCTGGCCGTAATGAAATTCTCTAACCAATTCTGATACCAGATCATGAGACCCATTTCCAGGATTCACGCCCGTCTATGCAACAAGGCCACCATTCAAACCCACAGGACATGGCTTTGCCTCAGGTTATCGAAACATGGGAAGGGGGACAGAAAGGTGGACAAGAACTGACTCAGCCACTACCCAGGACAGGTCAGACCCCAGCTCCACCGGGGTGACTGTTCGCCTGCTGGGGGCCTTTCCACATCTCAGCCCAGGTGTCTTTGCATCCAGGTGCATATTTGTCATCTTTAAAATATCCTCCACAATAAGCCCATGAGAGCATAGAGTGCCCGTGAGTCCAGTGATTCATTCTAGCAAATTACCCAAAACTAAGAATGAAGACATAAGAACCCTAATTTTTGCTTGTCCGTCAGGAGAAGTCTGAATTTGAGGGCTGAGCCCTCAACCTGTAGGATCTACTTCTTCCTGGTGGACAGTGACAGAACTGCACTTCATTAGGTGAAATTCAGCTGATGTTTTTTGATGGAACCAGGGATTGAACTCAGATCCTTGCGCTTGCCAGGGAAGTACTTATTCCACTGAGCCATCTCCCCAGCCCCTAGCTGATAGTTTTTGTTGTTTAGTGCTTTGTTCTGACTTTGGTACTAGGGATTGAACCCAGGACCCTATCACTGAACTATATCTCAAGCACTTTTTTTTTTTTTTTTTTTTTTATGAAACAGAGTCTCATTAAGATGCTCAGGCTTGGGATCCTCCAGCTTCAACTTCCCAGAGTACTGGGACGACAGGCCCCTACCACTGTACCCAGCCCTTCACATCTTTTAAGGTCACAGCAGTGATCTCTGTTGTGAAGCTATAGTAGGACAAACAATCTGACTTTCTTTTCTACTCAGGATCCAAGCGCAGTATTTTCTTATAAGTCCAGACCTAAAGAATTTCAGGTAACCTCAGCTTACCAACCTGTGGAGGTATCTTGTGCCGACCCCAGGAGCCCCTGTTGAGCCCAAGATGCAAAAGCTCAGAGGATGGACACAGTACCTCTTTTGAAGCACTGACTTTCCTCTGAGGTTTTCCTCATTGGGGCAGTGTAAAGGCTCACTCCCTTGACAGGTTCTGTTGCTCTAAGTGACATCAAACCTCTAAATGATACATGAGAAATGTAACTCTCAGCTTGTGAGATGTCAGATGGCTAAATTTATACTCCCCAAGATGAAGAATGAATTTTAGGGAACCACCGAGGCTAAGAGTAGGAAATATTTATTGAGAGGGAGAGATACAGCTCCTGAGAGAGAGGAGGGATCCAAGTGGATTGCTACAAGCTCACTTTACAAAGGAAGTATTAGAGCAAAATCACAAGGTGGGTACTGTGTGGGCTAAAGCTATGATCAACCAGTAAGAGTATAAATATAGCCGCTTCGGGAATGCTGATCCAGTGGGGAAGCAGGTCCCATGGTAAGTGTACACAGAAAGAACAAAGAACTTTTCAGGAAGGGTCACCCACTGAGGTGACGGATGTCTACCTACACTGTATTGGACCAGGTGTTATCACTTGTCCTCTGGGACGTATGGAGGCCTGGGCATTCCGTCTTTGGGGCTCGGCTCCCACCAGACCACCTCTGCTCACTGTTGTAGTATGGTTTTCTCCTTTGTACTGACCCTCTTGAGGGCTTAGCCCTATCTGCCTGCCTGTAAAATTTTTGCATAGCTTAGTCGTCTACACAACAAGGTGTCACCAGAAACATTTTCTCTTACACCTGTGTCTTCAGAGATATGACCTAAAAATTCATACACGGAACACTGTTTGTGCTGCGAGTAGGGAAATTTGTCATCTTCAGGTTGTAATCCAGGAATCTATTACTGCTTCTGTAGGATCAAAGGATCTGATGCTGGGTAGATACGGGGCAGGATAAGCCTCTTGGGACCCAGAACTGGTGCCTGCTGCCAGAAAGAATGAACTGGAGCCGATCATCCTTAGAAAGCTTAAGAAAAGACCTGCAGAGCTAGCTTTCAAAAAAACCCAGGCTGTGAATTTTAGTCTATATTTTGCCTTTGCTGGCACTTAATTATTGTAGCCTCTACAGTTGCACTGACCACCTTGCATGCTGTGCTTACAAAGCCCTGGTCATACAGGAACCTCCTCCACATGCTGAGACCTTTACCAGACTGGTAAGAAAATTGAATGCTGCCCTTTCACCGTGCCACTGGCTTCCGAACATGCTTTGGTGGCACGTGATAGTTATTTACTTATATTTTACCTGAGAACAAGTATGGTGGTTGAAAAAAGCAAGTTTGAAATACAGATCTGAAAGCAGTGCAGTTTGCCGAGCAGCTGAATCTGGCTCCTCTGGGGTCCTGCCCCAGGGTCACTGAGCTCTACTGAGCCTCTTCGGGAAAGAAGGGGCACCCAAGCCAGGGCCACCTGCCCTGAAACACAAATACATAGTCAGAGGCCCGGGATGGCTTCTACTGTCTAGAACACGCATGGTTGGGATCAGGCATCGTATCCTATTTCTTCTAATCTGCAAGAAAGTGGGATTCTGGAAACGACCATGCTAAAACTGCAGTGTGTTCCAGAGCTGCTTCAGAATTAAAAGTTGATCCCCAAAAGTAAAGCATATGGCAGAGAAGAAAAACCATGGAAGCCTTGAGCTATAAGTCAGGTCAAATATTCCAGAGGATCATGGAGCTACACAGTTTGCCACAGGAAACAGAAATGTTAATGACAACATTTCTTATTGAGCATTTGCTACGTATTTAGCACATCCTAAGCCCTTTTCAGTATTAAATCTTACAATCTGCATAACTTGATTCTATTAATCAGCTACTTGAGCTCCTCTATTCCACTTGAGGCTCAGAGAAAAAATCCAGAAGTAACAGCCAGCAAGCTTATCCAACCCTAGGCCATCTGATTCCAGCACCGGGCCATTAAGAACCAGCACTATCCTAGGACTTCACTGCCCTCATGAGAGCCACGTAAACACCTGAGATGTATCCGGATTTTATCCTCAGAATGGGACAAACGCTAAATTGTAGTAATTTCATCATGTCCACTATTGCTTGACTATTACTCTACCTTCATGAAAAAATGACTGGCCTCAGAAAGGTTTCTGGCAAATCCTGTCTTGAAGGAGTGAAACCCTCCCTAGAGGGAGCAATTAAGGGGAGAAGCAGCTTGGCTCTGCCAGGTCCAGGGCCCCAGCTATAGTTAATTAACTTTAATTAACTACAGGGTGCCCCTGCCACTATGGAGTAAAGTACAAAGGAGACAGGGGGAGGAGCAACATAACAGAAAACTCAGATATATCCCCACACCCAGAGAGGCACACACAGAGATGCACATGCGCACATACATGTAGTGTATTATTCTCTATGTGGCTGCACTGAATGTCCACACAAGAAAGCCAAGCACAATGACAGCTCAATCAACAAATCCCATACTTCCGGAATCATCAGATACAAAATCTAGAATAGCTATCCATGGAACAATTAAAAAAGTCAAAAAGTACAATCACAAATCCCTCATGAAATAGTGTTGAAAATGAAGAACTCAGGGAAAAACCCTGGAACTCTCATAGATGAAACATAAATCAGGTAAATAATCTCTAATAACCAAATAAATGTTGAATCAGATACAGCTAGAGAGAGTATTAGGAAGTGGAAGATATACATGCATGCTGAGTGCATGCTGAGTGCATGTGACTACAACACTGCAGTTAGGGCCAAGTTTGACTAGAGAGTTGATCTAAGAAAACATACTTCTTTTATACATAGTAAAAATTGTAGTCTTCATAATAAAAATAAAAATAAGGGACATAGTCACCTGTCTCATAGGAAAAACATGTTTTGCTGAGGAATCCCATGAGACAATGATCCAAAGACCCTTTCAATGTGCGTAAATACCAGAGCTGAATCCCCCAGGCTTCCAACAGCAGCAGGCGTCCTCTAGGGATGAAACTGCAGTGCAGGCAGCGTGGTGCAGGGAAGAAGAGAGGAGGCTGGGGTTCCCTGTTTATTCTTTTCATCTTTTGAATTACTAACTAATTCTATCACCTCTTCAGGCCAAAAAAAAAAAAAAAATCCTCATTTTTAGAAGATTAAAAAGGACACATAGCCTCTCAGCAGAAAAAATGCCCTCAAAGAAGATTTCAGAGATAAAAACCTCCTTGTGGGATTATACATAGCTTGGACACCTCATCTCTCCTTGGACATCTCCCTGCATGTCACAGGCATAGCACTACAGCAAAAGCCTGTCATTGTGTTATAGACAGCTAAGTTAGGTAGAAACATTACAGTCAATCAGACCAGGCGAAGCCCTCCACAGAGCCAGAGCACAAGAGGAGATACACTGAAACTGGGGGAAACAGATGCCTCTGCTAAGGGCCACACCTCAAGACAAAAACTGAAACCAGTAGGGACCAGGGAGATGGCTCAGTAGAATAAGCGATTCCCTGGCAAGTGTAAGGGCCTGAGTTCAATCCCCGGATCCACAAAAAAAAAAAAAAAAAACTGAAACCAGTGTACCCACATGTTTCCCCCAAGATAAAAAAAAAAAAAAAAAAAAAAAAGAAAAGTATCAATCACATTCAGCACACCACGAAGCATGCACAAGACTTTGGGTTCCACCCCCAACACCACAGAAATCCAGGAAGAGTCGCTGACCTCCCGCTTGCTCGAGGAAAAGCTGCCCTTCTGTTTCACGCCTACCTGCTTCCTCACTTGCTTACCCATTTGCTCCCCATTTCATCAATATTATCTGAGCAACTCTGCTTGTAATCTCACTGACTGACCGTAGTTTTGTGCCACCTCATGCCCGCTTTGGGATTTCTCATTTTTCCTCATCTTAGGGAAAAACAGCTTACCGTGTAGTTTTGCTCTAGAAAAGGTCAGGTCTTTGGCAACCCACTCAGGACTCCCTCTGTCTCTCTCTCAGGCAGAAGCTTTCCTTCCTAATACACACATTCTGCTCTTAACCTCTATTTTTCCTAGAATTAATTCTTCACTTTTGGAGAACACAAACTCATACCAGACATATAGCAGGTTGGGTGTTTCCCCTGTATCAACGGCTGCACATTCATTCATATGAAAATTTTGGAAAATTAAGGACACAGTGAAAACAGTACTACACTGGAGAGGTGAGCTGAATTCACTGTAGACAAATTTTCAGGTAGCAATGACGATGTCGTATTTTTTACTAGAATGGGATATTAGTGCTTACTCCTGCCCTTTTTATCTCCCCAGTGTCCTAGGTCCCAGGCAACCCCTCACACAGCAGGACAGTGTCCTTCCCATCTCCCCAGGCAGTGGTTCCAGGACCCCCAAGGATACCCAAGTCTGAAGTTGCTCATATATAAAATAGTGTGAGATTTGCATGTAACCCACCCATACTCACCTCCTGAGATTTGTATGTAACCCACCCATACCCACCTCCTGAGATTTGCATGTAACCCACCCATACCCACCTCCTGAGATTTGCATGTAACCCACCCATACCCACCTCCCTGTGAACTGTAAATCTTCTCTAGCTTTTCTAGAAGACCTAAGATAGTGTGAATGTTTCACACATAACTGTTGTGCTGAATGATTTAGGGCAGTGGTGGCAAACCTATGGCACACATGCTGCAGAGCGCTGTTTGTTGTCACCGAAAGCTCTGAAAGGTTTGCCATCCCTGACTCAGGGAATGTACTTTTCAGAGAGAAACAAAACGGACTTGACAGAGCAAAACAGAAAGAGGTATAAAGTTACATTTCACTGGTCAAGAGACACCATGGGACTAGACTTCTGTTTTCTGTGGTTTCTTACCCCAAAAGACAGGACAGAAGAAACTGCAGGATAAAAAGGATATTCTTCCACTCATGGAATTCAATTGCCTGTTATTAAAAAGAAAAAATAATGATTAGATAAATGGCACTGTGGATTAATCTTTTGCTTTAACCAAACCATGTTTTGGTACAGGAATCACTTTGCTATACCACACAAGAGAGGTCCTAGGCCTTCCCTAACAGAAGGTCCAGTTCTTAAAGTCTTGGGCCATGCTCGCTGTGTGAAGCTGTTCAAATTACTTTTCCTTCCTGCACCTCAGCATTGTTTTGAAAAATGGAGATTGTTACAAACAACTGCTCCCTTAAAATGCTGGCATGAGGACTGCATGCTTCAGCTTCACTGGCGGCCAGCACAAAATGATAGCTATCGGTGCTGGTACTACTATTTACCTCACAAATCTTTGCTAATTTGTAATGATAAAATCAAGGTTTGATTTACTTTTTATAAATAATCTTTTAAAAAGAGTTTATTACTGGGGCTAGGGAAATAGCTCTGTGGTCTGAGCACCTGCCTGGCAAGTGCAACGACCAGGGTTCAATACCCAGTACCAGATGCCATGCCTGCCCCCAAATGCCAGCCACTGAAACCAGGTGTAGTGGTACACGCCTGTAGTCCCGCCCTAGGGAAGCTGAGACAAGAGGATCACTACTAGTCTGTACCATAGCAAGACCCTATACCAAACAAATAAATAAATAAGTTTTTTTTTTTAAAGATTGAAAAGAAGGGCTAGCCAGATAGCTCAGCAGACTAAAGCGCCTGCTTAGGCAGAACACCAGTGGCCAGGGCTCAATCCCCAGTATGTGCTGGCCCCGCCCTGAGGAGACGCTGAGTTGGCAACTGAGATTGGGCAGCACACCTATAATCCCAGTGCTTGGGAAGCTGAAAACAGGAGGATCACTACAAGTCCGATCTACGAAGCAAGACTCTGGAGACCCTATACTAAAAAAAAAAAAAAAAAAAAAAGAAAGAAAAAGAAAGACAGACAGACAGAAAAGAGTTTACCAAATCAACAATGTTGGCAAGAAAAGTTCAAGTTTATAAACTGTTTTCAAGAACTTGCCTCATGGACAAATACATTACTAGAAAACAATCAAGTAGCTGAAGTTGAGAAAATGATAACAGAGTTTAAAGCCAAGTTTCTGCTTCTCAGGAACTTAATTCCTTACTGAGAAAATAAAATTAACCCTTTTGAAATGGAAAAAAAAAAAAAAAAGCAGGAAAACCAAAAATTTTTCATGTATACCTCGGCTGCCTTGAAAAACAGTATCAAGGGGCTGGGGAGATGGCTCAGTAGAATAAGCGCTTGTGTGGTAAGCATAAGGGCCTGAGTTCAATCCCCAGTTCCACCAAAAAAAAAAAAAAAAAGGAAAGAAAAACAATATCAAGATGACTCAAGACTGTACATAAGTATGCACTCCATACCATCACTGGGACCACACCATGTTGGTACACACCCATAATCCCAGCACTCAGGAGGCTGAGGCAAGAGGCAACCTGTAAGGACAAGGTCAGCTGGGCTCCATAGTGCATTGAAGCCCAGCCTGAGCTACATAGTGAGACCTTGTGTCAACAAACAACAGCAACAAAAATGATTGGCTCAAAAAGTTCTGTTCACTTTCTCTTAAGCCGTAATCTGTTAACCAAATTTTAGTAACTCTATACATTTAAACATATTTATATCATTTAAGTTTATAATTAATTTTTTTTAATAAAAAGGGAATGTTCTACTTAATAAAACTCATATTTTGTTGGCATTGATTTACTAGTAATAATGTGCCTACTTCTATCAAAAAGATACACATTAAAGGTTCAAGACTGTTGAAACTGGTTGAGGGGTACATGGGTGGTACAATTCTCTATGCTTTTGTACAGGTTTGAAAACTTTCCTCATAAAACAATTTTTTATATGCTTAATTGTGGGCTTGGGGTACAGACAACTGCTAAAGCTCATGCTTAGAACACAAAAGGCCCCGGGTTAGAGCCCCAGCAACACACACGCACACATATGTGGGCACAAGTAAACACAGATACAAAAGATTGTAAAAGAAACAAAATCATAATTTTAAATCTGTTTTATTGAGAAGCTCCAGGCCAATGAAGGGGTTAGAAAATATCCAAGAGAATTAAAGCCAAAAAGATGATGCAAAACAAAGACCAAAAAGGTCAGAAAATAGTAAAATTGTGGGAATCACTTCTCTGACATTAAAAGAATTTTTAAAATAGAACCAAAAAAAAAAAAAAAAGGCCCACTTTTTTTTTTATGTATTTGGCTGCTTCAAGGTCTCATTACTCAGCTCAGACTCATGGTGATCTTCCTGCTTTCAGCCTCCCCAGTGCTGGGATTACAGGCATGTGCCCCTACACCTGCCCAGACTCTGTCCCGCTCAGCCTGCCCTAGGGGCAGGGCCGGTGCAGCATGTGGTACCGGGGATCAGCCTGCATTCCCTGTGCTTGCCTAAGATCACCTAAGCAGGTGCTTTAGTCTGCCGAGCTATCTCACTGGCCCAAGCCCCATACTTGAAACCAAGGACAAAAAGAACATTTTCTCAAAGAGCTAGAGACATTTCTGCAAACAGCAAATACAAATTATATATTCCTGATACCAATAAAAACACTGACAATTATTCAGCAATTTTCATTAAAATATGTAGATTCTTGCCAACCTAAGTTTTTATACACTTTCATTTCTTTTATGTCTTTAATAATAAGTCTGTGAAGCTGGCAGTTTCAAAACTAATGCAGCATGATGGTTATTTAAAACAAAGTAATTAAAGATTAATGATAAAGTACTTCCTTTAGACTACTCTTGATGTCAAAATTTGTTTAAATATGAATCTTTTTCATTTTTCACTTTGGGTCTGTTTTCAATGAGTTAAAACAAAGCCCTATTTTTCTTAACCCCTATTTATCTGCTGTGAAACACCAAATGGACCTTGGACCTTTTCAGAGAATCACATAACTAAACAGAGTTCACCTCAGACTATTTTCCAAGGGCCTGACTGGTCCACAAAAGGAGCTGATGGTCCTGACTTTGCTGATTAGAGGCAGAATGAAAGTCCTGTTAATAAGTCTATCAATGGTATGAATGTGGGGTCAGGACAGCCCTCATGCAGCACAGGGCCACATACACAGGTCACTGTGGTCTCTGGTCCTATCCGCCTCTCATGCCCAGTCACCAGTCAGCAAGGGAAAAGGACACACATTCAATTTCTCCTTCCTCGAGCTAGAGGACTCAGTCAGTGTTTTGCTTCATTGCGCCAATCAGCATTCAGGTCAATGAAACCAAGCTTGGCAAACAGTATGAGACACTGTGCACACAAAGTCACTTCTCTGTGTTGTATTTCATGCATAATTTAAAATGGAACAGACGGCACACACAGTGACCCAAGGACACTGTAGGCATCGACACTGCGCCCCTTCAGAATGGGAAACTAGGGCAAGAGGAAGAGCACTACGGAAACTGTGCAGTGTGCTTTCTACTGCGTGAGTGTTGCCTTCACACCACAGCAAAGTTTGGGAAGTCAAGCCATCTGAAGATGAGGCTCTTGTTGGCACATGCCTATGCTCCCAGCTGCTCGGGAGGCTGAGACAGGAGGATCACTTGGAATGATCCTTGGAGACAGGAATTTGACAACAGCCCGGGCAATATAGCAAGACCATGTCTCGAAAGACAGAAGTAGTAAAATAAGTAAAATAAAAGTTTTAAAAAGACAAGGACTTGGGGGCCGGGGAGATGGCTCAGTGGCAAGTGCAAGGGCCTGAGTTCAATCCCCGGTTCCGCAAAAAAAAAAAAAAAAAAAAAAAAAGACAAGGACTTTCTGTTAGGCCTCTTTTTGTAAACTAGAAGAGTTAGATTATAGCTTTTCACCAGTGAAGGAAAGGAACACTCACTTTTCATACACAAATAGAATAGTTGATTGGGTTTTTTTGTTGTTGTTTTGTTTTGCTTTTTTGTATTTTAACACAAAGAGTATAGTTGAGACTGCAGCTCAGGGTGTGTTTCTAGAGCAGGGTGCCTGACTCTGTCCCCTGCTGTCCTCAGGAAGTTACTTGAACTCTAGCTCTGAATTCCATTCCTGCGAAATAGGGATGATGACAGTGTTCTCCTCTGAGGGCCGGTGTGGGAATGCAGTGAGACAGCCACAAATAACGCTTCAAAAACATCCCCTGGGAATCTTAGCATCACCGTTACTCTTCACCAGAAAGCAGAAGCCTTCTGCGAGGCGACCAGGCAGGCGGGAGCAACTTCCGGAAACGCCTTGACGAGCTGCGCACAGCAGTGATCTGATGCGGGAGCGCGTATCTCTGGCCCTTGTGCTTGCCAGGGAAGCGCTTATTCTACTGAGCCATCTCCCCGGCCCCTGCTTTACTTTTAAGGTGATTAAAATCCTGTTTCTGGCCACTTTGTCATTGTTCCTATGGGGAGATACACTTTATTCCCAAATAGGTTTTCCAAGAGCTTATAGGAGCCACATGATTTTTATTCCCCATAATAAGTATAAAACTGAAGTTACTACCCGGGCATACTGAAGCACACCCGTAACTGCAGCACACCCATAACTGCAGCACCCCCATAACTGCAGCACCCCCATAGCTGCAGCACTCTGGAAGCCTGGGTCAAGATAACTAAAAGTCCAAGTCCAGCCCGGGTAAGAGCAAATTAGCCCCTGTCTCAAAATTAAAAAAAAATCAAAAAGGTATAGGGATGTAGCCTATGGCAAAGGCCCTGAGTTCAATTCCAAGTGTCACAATCAATCAACTGAAAAGTGAATAATTACATACATATATTTTCCCTATGAAAACTGTCAACATTTCCTTCTCAGGGATATAATTTTGCTGCATCATCACATCAGCAAAAAGAAAAAGTAGGAGCCAGGTATGGTGGAGCATCACAAACTCAAGACCCACCTGGGCAACTAAACAAGTTAGTGAGAATCTGTCTCAACATAAAAAAAATTTAAAGGGCTTGGATGTAGCTCAGTGATGAGAGCCAGGGCCAATCCCCAGTACCACACACAGGGGTGGCAGGCAGTGCTAATCAAGCTCAGATTTGTATTGTTTTCCAAAAGTTTTAAATTCCAAGTTCTGTCACTACTTACTGCTGCTCTCCAATTGTCTACAGAGAAATATTAATGTAAAGATAGCATGAAAGGATCATTACAGTTATTAAGCTTTTTCTTTTCTCTTTTTTTTAAATAATATTTTATGTGTGTGTGTGTGTGTGTGTGTGTGTGTGTGTGTGTGTGTCCAGCTCAGCCCACCAGGGGGCGGGGCTGGCTGGCATGTGGTGCTGGGGGATTGAACTGTGGTCCCTGTGCTTTGCTAAGCTTGTTCTAAGTAGGTGCTTTAGACCACTGAGCCATCTCACCAGCCCCTTCTTTTCTCTTTTTTGAGACAGGGTCATGAATCCCCAGACTCAAGAGGCGCTCCTGCATCATCACCCTAGTATCTTGGACCACAGACGAACCCGGTTCTCAAGCCTGGATTTTATGTGCCCTCCTGGTGAGCCAGGCTACTTTTACACTTTTTTTTTTTTTTAATGTAGTTAGTACAGGGTCTGTAGGCTCTACAGGGTCTCGCTATACAGATCGGACTCATAGTGATTCTCCTGTTTGCAGCCTCCCAAGTACTAGGATTACAGGCGTGCGCCACCATGGCCAGTCTCAATCGCCATCTCAGCACAGCCCAGGGGCGGGGCTGGCACATACACTTTTAATTTCACTCGCACCAAATGCCAAATATTGAAATTAGAGAAGCGAGCTAAATAAGACTACAATGACTGTCACCAGCTCACCTGTTGCAGGTCTCCGGTGGAGACACTAATAAGGAAAGTGGGGATAACCATGAAGCAGGCATTGTAGAAGAGCACCCCATACTTCCCTAACTCCTGCAAAAAAAAAAGAAAGAAAGAAAAAGAAAAGAACAAAAACTCGTCAACTTTAGAAATATAAAGCATGAGATTTTCTGAAATTATCTGTACAACTATCCAAATTAGAATATGCATTCTCACCACCTCTGATTGAAATATTTTCAGCAAATTTCTGTTGTAAAATGCTGCATTGCAGTTGTGCTGTGATTTTTGAATAAATATTTGTTTGACACTGAAAACCACGGATAAAAGGGATAAAAACAGAAGACCTCCAGAGTTCGCTGTTTCTACCATTCGAAGGTTTTCCTAAAGCATGCGATGCAAAATGCAAAATGTGAAACAAAATAAAGATTTCAAATATTAACATACACATCACCTTGAAAGCCTTTTTCCCTCCACTGAAGAACAGCCTGTTACGTGTTTACTCTCGTTAAAGAGGCCACACCACAGTTCCCAGCAAAAAAGAGTGACATATTGTGGTTTTTCAAAAAGCAACAACTCTGTCTTTGTACAACTGATGCCATTAAAAGAAACAAATGGCTAGAGGGGGGAAAAAAATCACTTATGGAAATGAGCCTGCAGCTAGAATGAGCTCTGTCACTGCACACAAAGATCCTGGGACAAAGAGCCCATATGCCGGGTTCATCTGAGGCTTCCGGTGACAGCTGGGGTTGGGGCCACCACACTTTGTGGTGAAAAGAGCTGTGCTGGAGGACCCCACACAGTCACCACTCCTGTCACTTTATCCCACAGACAGGAAACTGTGGTTTGGAAAAGTGACAGTTCCAAGTACCATGGCCAGTGAGGAAAAAGAATTTGCCTTGACTGACAGACAGACGGATGGACAAATTGATTGACTGACTGACTGACTGACTTGATTGATCAATTGATTGATTCCTCCTGAGTGAGCATGTAAAACAGGGACATCTTGGGAATGTAACTTGGTATTAGAGCACTGGCATACCATGTAAGAGGCTGTGGATTCTATTTCCAGCACCACAATGAAATAAAGAAGTAACATCTTTTTCCCCTTATCTAATTCTCTCCAAAAGTTTTTCAAGATTAGGAGTAACAAGGATTTATATACACCAGATAATTAAAAAAATATATAACTGATGGATCATATTATAATAAATCATACATTAATGTACAAATTCATTTTCACTTCCCCTGTCATTTTGGGGCCAGCTGGAAAAGTCTAAAAGCTGTAAGAGGGAAGAGCTGGTACCTTGGGGTCCATTTTCTGTTTGGTATAAACTCCATTTGCTGCTGTAAAGATGTCATTCAGGAATACAAAAATATAACCTTCCAAGTTAAAAGCAAGGTCAGAACTGAAGGAAGAACACAAAACAGGGATGATCATTTAGAAACTGACAACCCTGCCTCAAAATCCCAAGCAAATCCCTGTGCAGTGCTAGTAACAACTTTTCTCTCCATGTGTCCCCTCCTGGTGGCAAATGGTTAATGCCTCTGCTCTGCCTCCAGACAAAAACAAACCCAGCCAGTGGGGGGGGGGGGGCTTCAATGTAATTAGCCCTGAAGACGCAGGTACCTTCCCTGTCTTCCTTTCACTGCTCAGCCCTTTGCTTACTGTCCTAAAGGAGCCAAACACCAATACAGCCCCTGGAGACAGTGAGGAGGGACTAGGCAAGGAGGGTTGTGTGGGAAGCCAGGCCCTACGTGGTGCCCAAACAGTGCCCTGTCATCACAAGACAAACGCGGGCATCAGTCTGTGCCACTCTCCCAGAGCTCCTTCCTCCCCATAATTTGGAAACATCTTCTTGTCAGTTCACACTTTACATAGAAGAGCATAAGTTATAAAAATGCTTGGAAGGATACAACATGGAGACAAAGATGAGGAAGGATAACTGGTATGTTATGTGGCCATTCACCTGCACTTCATCTTACAGAGAGATCCTGACCCTTGTCATACTTCATGACAAGGGTCATACAAAATGGCCAGGAAGAAAACAATTTTAATCTAACTTGACTTCAGTACCCAAGAGTTTGCAAATTTCTTTACTTATTTACCATTCATTGGTTAATTCACTCACTCACTTGTTGAGACACTATCTCACTTTGGTGCTCAAACTGGCCTTCAACTGCTGGGATCAAGGGATCCTCCTGCCTCAGCCATTTAAGTACCTGGGACTACAAGTGCCTGTCATCTAGTCCCCTATGCCTGCTAATGTAACCAACAAAAGTCAGACCTGAGGCCTTGTGCAGGCCGGCCCAGTGCCCTACCACTGAGCTCTATCACCAGCCCATGAAATACAAATCTTATTAGTCTTTTATGTGCACAGAAGTCCATGAAACAGTAAAACTCAGGAGTTAAGACTTAAGAATGAGGACTTAACATTTTTAGAAAGGAAAAACATTTTAGCTTCCAGGGACAGATAAATTGTGAGGCGTGACTAGAAGCCATAGGAGGGAAAATAGTGCACCAGCAAGGTTACTTTACAGTGCATTTATGTGGGAGCATCTCCGGCTCTCCCTGTCCAGTACAGAAGGTGCTCTCCTCTTCCTGACATGGGAGATGGAGGTGTAGCATAGAATGCCTCCCCCAGCCGGGATACTTCAGCTTGTGTTCATCTCCCAGGTAACCTCCGGTTCACATCAGTTCCTGTTACAATTCCTGTCACTTCTGTTTCCCAGAACTGGCTAGTCAGGATGATGCACATTATATTAACCAATCCCCAACCTACAAGCCATCTGCCTCTGTACATCCCCTTTACAAGCCCATATAAGCTCCCTCCCTGAGTGCCAGTTGTGGTGGTGTACACCAGTAATTCTAGCAGTCTGGGAGGCTGAGGCAGGGAGATCACAAGTTCAGATTCAATTTTGGCAATTAACAGCTGAAGGAGACTCTGTGGAAAGCCCTGGTTCAACCACTATTTCTGCCAAAAAAAAGAATTTAATACAAGGAATGAACCAGAATCCTTGAGTCTAAATGAATTAACATGTCAGGTTAACTGAGATTCCTCCAACTTCTTCTTCACTGGATTCAATCAAGAAGTCTTTTTTATATATATATAATTTTTACTTTATACCTGAAGAAAGGGAAGAACAAAAGGGCAGAGAAACAGCTTACAAGGGGCAGAGCTCGGATGTGAATACAGGAAATTTAACCGCACTCACACGCTGGCCAAGTCTGAGCAGCTGCTTGCAAATGCAACCGTGAAGGCTGCATTCTGGCTTGTGTCTGTGAAAGCTTAGGGTAGTTGGCTTGGGCTGTGCTGGCTTCTATGGAAAACATACAGGCACATTTTGCCCCAGTGTGGGCTGGTACACCAAAACACTTAGGGACAGCATTCAGCCACTGAAACAGTGAATGCCAAGGTCTCGCAATAGAACAGGCAACACACAAGAACTCTGTAGATCCGTTGTGGGGTATGCGTGTGCGTGTGTGCATGTGCACATGCGCACTAGAGATTAAATCCAAGGCCTTTTGCATGCTAAACACACACTCAAACACTGTTAAAACTCTAGCTCAAATGTGTTAGCTAGTTAGTTAGTTGGTTATTTAGTTAGCTAGCTAGCTAGTTATTATTCGGTATGGGGACTCAAACCCACAGCCTTCATACTATGTTCACTCCCAGTCCCTTTTAAGACAAGGTCTCACTAAGTTGGCAGGCTGGACCCAAACCTCACTCTTCCTGTTTCAGCCTTCAAGAGTGCTTCTAGTACAGTTGGGCCACTACTCCCAACTCCAAATCTGTTCTTTTTAAGGAAACATGTAAGAACTTCTCAAGTTAAAGATTTTTGTGTCGACTAGGGGTTGCACTCAGAGCCCTGCACGTGCTAGCCAAGCACTGCACCACTGAGTTACAACCCTCAAGTAAAACATTCATGTTGAAGACATTCGGTAACACCCATAAATAGCTGAGTGTTTTGTTTTATTTGCACACAATAACTATACTAATGGCTGGTAATGTTTACTATACATATTCTCAGAAGTGCTCTGGCCTACAAAGAACCCAGTTAGAGTCTCATGGGACCCCACGGATTCCACTAGCACAACAGATTTGTCACTTAGTTGTTCAATTCAGCTGCAGCCAAATGGAAAATGAAACCCAAGGATGAGTCTGGGCCTATTGTCAAACCCACAAAGAAGTCACTGAGCAGAAACAGAGCCAAGTCTTACCCAGCTGCCACAATAGCCCCAAAGACAATGGCGAAGACACTGACCACGATATCCAGGGAGTGCTGCTTCCTGCACAGGGAAGCAAGGTGGGGAGGGAGGGGCAGGAGAGAACAATAAAAACACAGACCAACGTAACTTTCATAGTTTTATAACTGAGCCCCAATAGCATTTAACATAGTCACTAAAACTGTAAATTAAACCAAATTTAGTTTATAAGCAGTTTTAATAATTGAATTATAAAGTAATATCTCTGTGCTCAGCAGAGAGATGCTGGAACAAAACCAAGAGACCTAGCTCGAGGCCTGGTTCCCATGGGCCTAGATGGAGCATTAAAGGAATTTAAAAAGGTAAAATTCAGTGCTGAAGGTTAAATCAGCAAACCATCACTAAACTTCATTGTTAAGTAACTATATCACAGCAAAATCCACAACTGCCTTCCTCAACATCATCTTTATAGGAAGTTCTTATACCAATAGTATGAAAATTAACCTATTCTAATGTTATAATCATGGCATCAGAATCACTTTCCTTGATATTTTACACTCCTATCGTGTTAATGTACAAAACCATTTTTCTTCTGTATTCTAAAACTAGTGTCTATTCCATGGGGCTCAGCAAACAGATTTTTATCTGTGTTGACATGGTTGTTTCTCTTTTCATAATTTTATATGTAATTTTCATAATTTTAATAACATGTGTTCTTTGTCTAATATTAAATGACACTTTTAAAAAATCCTTCATTGATGGTTAGTGGATCATGGAAATAGGCAACTTATTTAATTCGATAAATTAAACAAATTTATCAGTATTTGCCCTCAGTAATGACAACTAATAATTCAAATCAACTACCTGCAAAACTGGCTGGTTGGCAAGAATTCACTGGATAAAAATAATGCAGCGGTAGGACCATACTGGGAATGGAAGAGAAACGAAAAGTGAGATTCACCTAAGTATGACGGTCTCCAGGAGTAGAGTAAGCGGAATAGTAAACTTTCTGAGCACGGTGAACATCGGCAAGCTGTCGGGAAAAGATTCCAGTGGGACGTCAGGCAACCTGTGTGGACTGGTCTTGGTTTGAACTTCTGCATTTGTTCACTAAGTCCACTAATTTTCCAAATTAAGAAATAAATCCTTATAATTATGGTCAGCTGATATCCAACAAGTGTATCAAAAGAATACAGTGAAGAAAGAAAAGTCTTTTCAACAAATGGTGCTGGGTCACCTGAACATTCACATGCAAAAGAGAGAATCAGAGGCAGGCCTAGGGGTGCCTACCTGTAGCCCCAGAATTCTGGGAGGCAGAGGCAAGAGGATCAAAAATTCCAGTCCAGTCTGGGCAACTGAGTTAATGAATCCTTGTCTCAAAATTTAAAGCAGGGGTGGGGGGAAGCAGAGATGTAGATCATTGCAAAAGCCCTTGGTTCAATCCATAGTACAGGGGAAAAAAGGAAGGAAGGAAGGAGGGAGGG